AAGACAAAATATAAAAAACATTTGTGTTATACTCACACGGACTGTTTAGCCTGGATCCATGTGCATCAAAATGTGAAATGTCTAATGTATTTTTTCAACAACAAATCATTTATCAAATAAGAAACCTGCACAGCAATGTAAACTCAAAATGTACATAATTTAATGTAATGTATCATCATATATATACATTCCCCTTGTAATTTACAGATATTGCACCATATAATGACACACTCTAAAAAAAACAGATTGATACTAAATGTTCAGCAATACATGAATTAACTTCTCCATTCTTATTCATTTTCTTTAAGTTCAATTTCAGGTTTTGACGGTTAACATTTACCTGCTTGCTTTGCTGTAATGGAAAGCAGTGGGTTGATTTTGCATAAGATGGAAGACCGCGGTAGAAATACAAAATGCTGAGGAAAATCCTTTTTGTCCAATTTCAGTCTCTGCTGGTACAGTAACATCTCAATTTTATACATGGTAATCCCAAAGTCTTCCATCTAAAAAATGGTACCGGACTGATTCAATCAGAGGACAAAGAGCAGCAATGCAGAGGAACCATAGACGAAAATAAAGATGGACGACAAGACCGCTCTATGGATGTATAAAGAGAACTGGATACAGCTCAGCGTACCCAATTGGGATTTGCTTAAGTTCTGCCTCCAATCTGCAGAGTCACGGCCGGTGACGGCTCAGTGAAATGAATGGAAAGGTAACATTTTACCTTTCCAACTTGAAGTGCATTTTACAACTATTAGACCCTAATGATTTAAATAAGGCCTAGTGTTGGTCCTGTGTAGTTGATTCAATAACTTTTTGGGCCCAATGATTTCACAGACTGACACAGAAGTGGTAGTGAAGCAGAATATCTTGATGGACACCTTGTGTCTGGCTGCATTATAGAACAGGAATCTGACTACGTTAGCTTATGGGACATGGGCCAAGCTAAATCTCGAATGCATCTAAATAAAGCAGTGTCTTGCGAGATGTAACCTAAACTTTCCATAACCTTCACAGAGTTATAGAGATATTATGTAAAGTTGCTGTTTTTTTCTAAACCAATCTCTACCATGGCGTTAACGCCTAAGTGGTAAATGCTAGCAAGCTTGTGTCATGCTCGGCTTGCGATTGGCTCATTCTTGTGTGGACGGGGCTTCAATACTGTGGCTTCAGCCCCTCCCACCTGATCACTACTGCTCAGATTCTGGCTCAAAATAATGCCAAAATCTCAATATGGCCAGATATTTTCCTCTGCTTTTGGGAAATGGGAGAAAGCGGGGACTCATCCTCCATCTTTATATATATTCTTCAACAAGGACTCAAAATAACAAATAAGGAATTACATAATAAATATAAATACATCCTGAAAAACTGAAATTGAAGATTGCATGCAAAGGGTCGTGCTTATGCACATGTTTGCACAGATGCATTTATATATCTATCTTTTTGTCGTGTATACGTGTGTTCACTTATAGATCTTGCCTGTTTATCAGACTGGACACTGTCTGAAATTGATCTCCTCCATCCTACTTGGCTTGTGTAAGTACATCATGACTGATTGTAATCTCCTGCCCTGATACCTGAACATAAACAAACATAATTAAACTTATGAATGAATATGTTGTACTTTTACCCTACATATATGAATGAATAGAGAAGATTGTAGAAGGTTTGAATAAAAGATGAAGATATTCTGAAATAATAAACAAATAGAAGCTCTCACAAGTAGGATTACTTATGCAACAGCTCATCACGTTCAAATCATCTGCTCCATTGACTTTATTTGTGTGTACCTAGTTCATCCTAACCACTGATAGAAGACACAGACAACTCTGTGATTCTGTTTGAGCATTAGTGTAGAGAAATAACAGGCAACACTAGAAACTGATCAAGTCTGAATGACTCGTATTGAACATCAATCATTTGTAAACAGTAAGCACTACAATCGGGTACGCTGCTTTGATTAAATCTTGATTGGAAGGCTCTAACCCGATAGAGCAGAGAATGTTAAGATTGAGGCCTGAAGTGATGGCCGCAGGGAGAAAGATTACATCTGAGTTTATGTAGTCATCAATGTGCGTGTAGTCAAACTCAATATGTGGAAAAGAGCCAACCAAACACCGACACACATACACACTGTGAACATGAACAGCAGTTTCCTGCCAGTGAGTTAAACCAACGCACCCCCGTCATTGTTCACAACATTTCTGATGTTGCATAATTACAATTAACTGCCAAAAAACAGCCAAATGACAGCCTGCACCAGGTATCTCTTTAATACAGAGCACAACCAATCCTTTATTTAGGTTTTATTGTCCTGAAATGTTAAGCTGCTAAAATAAACCGTTACTCACTTCCTTTTTTGTATTGTTGGAAGGAAACCTGAGAAGCAAGCAGAGTGACAAAAAACTAAATAAGAGGCCGCAAGAGAAATAATAAAAGTGAAAGTGCAAGAGATTGATGTGACGGGATGCAGTGGTACCAATACCACAGTTCAGAAACACCATTTACTATAAAAAATAATTTGCTTTTATTATAGTAATCATCTACTTTTTTGGTTTTATAACAAAGTGATTACAGAGCAAGTGAAGACATGTGAAGGGAAACTAAATCCAAATGAGTTTATAAAAATAATGAACTCTATTTTCTTAACATGTTTTTGCTCCCTCTCCTTTACAAGTAAGTGCAACATACTCAATTATAATTAAATATATTGCCTTCAAAAAAATATATAAGGGAAAGTTTGAGGTGTGGGGAAACGTGCATTTTTCCAAAGGAGACGATCAATACCCCTTTCCAGTCTGCACTATAAATATGAAGGGACAAGCTCAGCTCAAAGCCTTCAAACAGCAGAGAACATCCAGCCAGGCTCTATCCTCAGGTAAGAACTAACCAGCACATCTAAGGCTCACAATTTACCACTATTTAAGTATAACCTGAACCATGGAAACAACATGTCAACATATCAAAAGTAAAAGTATGTATACTTTAGATTTTTATATATTTGAATGTTTTTACTGATGCATTAGGAGCTTTTTTAATCGTGTAGGTGGGGGAAGTTATACCTAATTTATATATTGCATGTACTGTATAGCAATGCGTTTTATCATCTACACCTACAGTAGTATATGTTTTGAAAAACCTAATCTGTAAAGTCACCAATAACTGTAGCAGGTTGAGACAGACAGAAGTAAATAGAGGCCTTTAACTTTCTGTCACCTCATCCCCTGTGTGACCTCCAGCCAGATTTAAGGACAGGGACAATGGGCAGGTCAGGTTGATGTGTCACCAACTTTGGCTTTCAGGCCCCATTGTGAAATCCTCATGTGAGAAAGTGCAGGCCACGTTAAGCTGTCATAGCAGAAAGGGAGGTTTTACAGTCTAATCTTAGAGATTGACCCTCTGGTATAAAATGCTACGGGTCGCAGAGAATCAGTGTGGACATGCTGCTTGATCACTGAGCCTCCAACCATTTCTCCTTTCTCCCAACAGTTTACCATCATCTTCATTAGCCATGGGTGTTGCCTACAGCGTCGTAGAGTAAGTGAATCGAATCATCAAGATAGCGGTGAACATTGTTATGCCAGCTCCTGAATATAGTTGCGTAATCTGGAGTTCAATCAAACGGTACTTTGGTTCACTTGTTTCAACGGTTTCAACACATTCAAGCAAGAACGTGTAAGCTTAGAACTGCAAAGACCTTTTAATCACAAGAAAGTTTGTAATCCAATCTTCTAATTGTAGTGATCAGTGTTCTTGGTGTTTTGGCAATTGCTACAAATGTGCAGAGAAAGCAGGAGTTAAATAAGTCATTCCAAGGTAGGAAGAGGTTTACTCTAAAATGAGTACTGTGACTGCTATTAGCAATGGGATGGATTTCAGCCTCATTTTGCTCTGAAGTTGCTCTCTTGTGGGGAAGGCAACATAATTCAACCTCTATTTTCCAAAACAGGGGCTCCTCCTTCCTATTCCTGTAATCAGCTTTCGTCAGCCCAGCATGATTAATGCCTGAAAACATTCAAAGCATGCTTCACTTTCCTGCTATTCATGTCCAGGCATGACTCACAAGATAATAGAGGTTTAAGAGTGCCATTCTTTAACTTTTAATTCGATTTATTTCTCATGAGAAATAGAGAGGTTGGGCCAACTGTCATTATTGCTCAAAAGTGAAAGCAGCAACATACTGTATGATTGATCTGACCATACTGATCCGAATATGTTATGTATTTACTGGATAGCAGATAAGATAATGTATACAGTTATCTGTTTATTTATTTTCTGATACAGTAGGTAATTGTAACCTCCAATATTTCATGATAAAAGCCCTTTGCTTTTCAAGTTGAACACTAATGCTTTTAACGAAAGCAGGCTGCATACTACACTCTAATCATTTGAGGTACAATATAAAAATGTAATTTCTTCTTTTACTTCTACAGGGTGGACCATTCCAACACTTTCTTTGTGCAGTTGTCCCCACAAATCTACACTAAGGGCAACAAGAGGCATCGCAAACTCCGCTTCCTGTTCAGAGAGAAACACCAGAAAGGCTTTCTTGTAGTGGAGAATGAGAAGGCTGCTGTGATCAACAAGCTCCTCAGTGACCCTGTCGACCCCACTGCTAACAACTGGGAGGTAAGATTTGCAAAAATGCACACATGCTGTTAATATGTCACAAAATCCCTCTGTGGCTCTCTGACGGCACACAATAAACTCCACAAGTTTATAACATTCCCGTGTAGTATCTCTGACTTACAGTAAGTGAGGCCCTAAAGTGCTTGGCTGTTATCCCAGAGGTTGTGGGCAAACCCACTCTCTCTATATATGGACATCCTATCTCTAGTACCCTCCTACAATCCCAGAACCCCGCTTAACTTTCCAGTTCCAAAGAAAGGAAACTGTTAAATGTAAGAGATAACCAATGAGAGGCCCCTCCACCACAGTGTCAAACCAATAGGGTTTCTGACACAAAGGGTGGAAGTAGACCGAAGGAAACATAAGTGATGAACACTGGCAGATTTTTGAGAGCAGACATGTGGATTTGCAGAGCACAGAGCTCGAAAGCAGAAACTATGAAGCTGCTGCCAGATAATATCAAGGTGCTTTATTTTGCCAGTGACTATGTGGAGCCGTATGTTGAGGTATGTAATCTTGTTAGATGTACTGCATTTATGATGTAAAATGTTTCTTTACTTTGGGTGGAAAATACATTTTTGTAGTTCCTGATATTATTGCATAATTGATACTACATGTATTTTGTGAATGGTATTATTATGTTTTATATATCGCGGTTATCGCTAATGTCTGTAAAATTTAAATAGATATTTTTCCATGCATCCTTACACAAGTTGTGATCCAGCTATCCAGTTATGAATGATTTTGTTATGAAGTTTGCTTTTCAAGTCTGTAATGGCGCATTTCCACTGCAGCGTGCAGCACGGTTTAAGCGTGCCGTGCGAAACCCGGCCCGTTTTTTTTTTGCGTTTCCACTAGGGGTAGTTCCGGCTAACGGGTACTGTTTCACAGTTTTTCTGGCCCTCCAAAATCCAGGTTCTTTCCGGGCCAACAACCAGGCTGAGTCCGGCTGAGTATGCTAAACTAGAGAGAAAATCTTTTAAAAATGCGTGTTTTCTGAATGGAGATCGGCTAAGCTAACGCAGTATATGCTCCGACTGTCCACACTCACAACAACGGCCTACACAGACATAAATAAACTGGCGATTGTATTCACCATGACACAGACAGTCTGTGGTTTGTACTTGTTTAACTTTTGTCTAGTTTCTGAACAGATACGAGGAGCTGTGAGCTCTGAGTGGTAACAACTAACGGCTGATGTAGGTTTTCTGTGGTTCGCATTTAAGATGACGTCACGGCTCCGCCTACACTGCGTTACTATAATTACTGTCCCAGCTACTAAACTGTAATGGAAACGCAGCATAAAGTGAGAGGCCCTGCAGTGTAAATGCGCCATAAATGAATCACTCAACCACAAGTTTCTGTATGTGGTGTGAAGAAAGCTTTCGTTTAGTTTCATTTTGTGTCCTCCTCCAGATTATCACAGTAAAGGACCCCAAGCGGCGCCTGAGTCTTCGCAGCTCAGGGTACTCGGAAGAGCCGGATTACCAGGAGGAAGTTGAAGTTGCTCTTCCTGTCCTGAGCGACGACAGCCAGCTGTTTGAAGACCACCATCTGGAGAAAGTAAGTTATATCCGGCCTCATTTAGAAATGATCTAAGTACACAATTTAACAACGATTCCTGCCAATTACATATGAGACCTTTTAATTAATCTAATTTTTCCTACAGCTTACTGCTCACATGCCAGTGAGGACCCAGGTCCATCCCTGGCAGCTGGTCTACAGCACGGCCATCCACGGGAGCAGTCTAAAGACTCTGTACAGGAATATGGCGGGTCTGGAAAGCCCTGTGCTGCTGGTCATCAAAGACACACACAAAAAGGTTTGCACCTTAATCTTTACTCGACAAGGCCTTTCTTCAAATAAATGTATTCAAACTGATTATTAAATATGTGAGTACTCCTTAATGACCCGATGTCTTGGTCCTTGCAGGTGTTTGGGGCTTTTTCTTCCGATCCATTTAAAGTCAGTAAATACTGCTACGGCACGGGAGAAACCTTCCTGTTCAGCTTCAATCCTGACTTCCAGGTAAGAGTGGACTTCCATTTAGTGTGGTTAAAGAATCTTATCTATCAGCAAGCCTGATTATTGGTGTATTATTATTACCAGTAAAGTTTGCAACCATTTAAGGCAATTCTCTGTAATAGGTGCTTAACAAATTCTCAGGAAATATTATCTGTCAGAAATAAACGTTTTTGAGGAGCAAGAATTACATTTTACTTTTGAAACGTTTTAACAAGATTGAATGTAAGTGTAATGTATTTTCATTTTGTTCAGGCATACAAATGGAGCGGTGAGAATTCCTACTTTGTGGGCGGCAACTTGGAATCTCTGCAGATTGGCGGAGGAGGGTAAGTAATGCGGTTATTGACCATAATATATATAATAGTAACTTTAAGTGCTACCTATCGGATATCTGAGACTGCAGCATCTAAGAGCATAAAACATGATCTGCTATAAAAGGTTTTGAAATTAAAGTTGTATTATTTCCTCTCCTGTAGGGGTGGATTTGGCCTGTGGCTGGATTCTGATTTGTACCACGGCTCAAGCTTCTCCTGTCCCACCTTCAACAATGAGTCTCTCTCCACCAAGGAAGACTTTATCGTACAAGACCTCGAAGTCTGGACTGTGAAGAGATGATGGTAGAACATCTTAGAAGATGAGCTTAAAACAAAAGCAGAAGCCTCTGTCCTGTTTGGAGTTAGAACATGCCAAGACTTCAAGGAGCATGTGTGGTTTAAGCCACTGCTGTAAAAAACCTGCTAGAGTAGCTGCTATCATCGGTGTAGCCGGTTAAGATCAGCCCACATACAGTAGAAGCCTGTTCTAGCGCTTCTCTGGCTGTCTGTTTCCGCTGGCTCAACCTGTGCCTGTTAAAGACAAGAGGCAATCCTGCAATCCAGGGTGCTGCTGTCTTAAACTGCAGGCTATTCTGGCTGCTGCTTAGACCAGTCAGCAACTGGCGCTTTAAGCCCTACATGCCATCCTTTTGCTTTGGGAGCATTATAATACAAAGCTCACAGTAACACTGTTGAACAAAAAGTGTCTAACTACTGCAAGCACATTCAGAATTTTAGGGAAAACTATTCCAATTTTCTTTCAGCCATGTGTGTTTGAGACATTTCAAAAAGCGTGTTTAAAGTATTTATCTGCGTGAAAGTTGGTGTAAGAATAAGTGTACACATATTCTATTATTATGACAAACAAACTTGAAGACAGAAAGAGACAAAAAACTAAACTAAAGGGCACATTTTTCACATTCTGTTAAAACGCTTCAACAGATGCACTCTGGAATATGTTTGTAATTTTTTTCTATCTTAAAGGTCTTGTTTTAATGTTGTCGATTTTGAAAACTATACTGCTGCAGTTCGAACCACTCAGGTTAAGAAAAGTTAATGATAGAGTTGCCCAACAAACTTCTTTACTTTCTGTGAGGTGTGTGGTTATAAATATAAATAAAAGAAGAGACCTCAACTGTTAACTGTCACTTCCGTTTTTGGAAAGTCTCACCTGTCTGCCTATTTGCATAAATAGACAATATTAAGTCTTTTACATGTTTTTATGTGAATGTTATTTAAGTAACATCTAAAAAGGAAAGCAAGCTACATTTTTGGGCTGTTTGTTTGTTTGTTTTTAAATTGTTTGTATGTAAACCAGAAGGTGCTGGTACTGCATGTGTCATTTTGTGGAACCACATAACAATTTTGGCTATCCTTGCAACAAACAATGTGTTCATAGCTTTCATATATAGTTTATTATGAATAAATCTTTAAAAAAACATCATCTTTTCCACTGAGTAGCCTACACTGTTTTTTTTAAATGCAAAAACAAAACAAAAACAGGATTAGACTATACTGTTTGAATTGTCATAGTTTTGTGACTCTCATCCTTTATATATACAGTCTATGCTCTCATCACAAACTGATGTTGCGATAAAGAGAACAACCACAGAGGCCTTTTCCTGATAAATAATCACACAAAAACGTACAAAGGGGATGTAGTAGAAGACTGTAGATGTAGAAATAAATGGAACAATTGTAAACTTGCAAACAACATGTTTGCTGTAAATGTTCAGGCAGCTCAAAGCCTACTCACCCATCAAAGCTGCAATGCCACAAGCTTACAGGACAGGACACCATGCATGGAAATGATCCCGTTCAATGACCTGCACACTCCTTAGTAGATTGCGCGTTTACTATTTGGTTTAACCAAGGCGTTAAAACATTCAAAGACCTTTATATGCACAACACATTTGCCTCTTTCCAACAGCTATCTGATAAATTTGCACTACCTAGGCAACATTTCTTCAGGTATCTACAGATTCGCAGTTTTGTTAATAATAGATTTCCTCAGTTTCCTAATCACCCAACTGATTCGCCGCTAGACACACTCCTTACTAAGCTCAGGCTCTCTAAAATATATAAGGAGGTGGACCCAACTTGTGACAGATGTAGCCAAGCACCGGCGAGTCACGCACCTTATATATTTTAGAGAGCCTGAGCTTAGTAAGGAGTGTGTCTAGCGGCNAGAAACCGGCTCGAGATACACTTTTTGTTATATTCCATGGAATGCTCTTAACATCCCGATAGCAATGAATATCTTAAGTCAGTCAGCACTTTTCCTCAGGAGGCACACACTCCCTTTAAGGAATACTTCACCCTCTGTTGAAAATCTAAAAAAACTGAGCAACTCAACAGTCAACTTTATATATATATATATATATATATATTTTAAACTTTTCATTTTAGTTTTTTATAAACAAACAGCCAGACAGACAGCACAATAGCAGTTGGCAAACAAATTAGGATGACAACAATGTGATTCTAGTCTGGCAGGATAAAAAACAAAAACAAAACAAAAAATAAATGAAACAAAACAAAAGAAAATGGACTGCGACAGACAAAAAACAATAAAAATCTAAAGGCTCTGAGTCTAAGTCCATTATTAATAACTTAATGCAAAAGTAGAGATCAAAGAATGTGCATAAATGGAACAAAAAGACCAAATATATCAAAAATAAAAAATAAATAAAAAACATAGCACTTGTTGGTCAGTCGCCCACTAATCACAGTTTAACACCACAGGTCCACCACCCTGTTGTACAAAGACATCCGGCATGTCCAGCTCCCGTATATACTTGTAGAAGGGGTTCCACATCTTGTGGAATTTCCCCAGGGAGCCCCTCAGTATGCACCTTATTTTCTCGAGTTTGGCTGAATTTAGGACTTCTTTTAACCGCAAGGTGTGTGAAGGGGATGTTGGAGACTTCCACATGAGCAATATCAGGCGTCTGGCTAGTAAGGTAACAAAGGCTATGAAGGCTGTCTCCAGAGAAGAGAGTGGCCATGTGGGTGGGGTTACACCAAATAGTGCGGTCATGGCATTAGGAGCGATCGGTTTTCCAGTGATTTCTGACAGTGATCTAAAGATGTCAGTCCAATAAGAGTGTAAGACCGGACAAGACCAGAACATGTGTGTGTAACTCGCCGGTGCTTGGCTACATCTGTCACAAGTTTGGTCCACCTCCTTATATATTTTAGAGAGCCTGAGCTTAGTAAAGTGTGTATGATGCACTTTGCACTGAATCAGTCCATGTCTAGCACAAATAGAAGATTTATGTACATTAGCGAGCGCATTTTCCCAAAGTTCTTCAGAAATCTCCTCCCCAAGATCTGTTTCCCAAAGAGATTTAATGGAGTTCAGGGTAACCAAACGAAGAGAATAAATCTGAGCGTAAATACACGTCATCATTCCCTTCAGAGTAGGTAACGGCCTAAGGAGT